AGTCGAAGTTATAAACTGCAATTCCAATGTAAATATTTGAAAGATCATAATAAATGTTTTAATAATGATTTTATGTTAAAATCAGTTGCAATGAAGTTCGCGTGTTTTGTTTTATCAGCGAAAAATAAAGTAATTCAAAATGCAGAACTGTACCTTGACCTCCGGATGATTGAATTTCATGATGGGACTAACATGCGATTACTTTGCTTGATGGGACAAACTGACTTGATGGTTTTTCTAAGAAACGGTCTAGTATAAGAGAGGAGCGGACTGGCTGGTTTTGAGTTAAGAGGAAGAGGCGACAATTGGCTTCTTACTCTTTTATTTCTATCTCTATCTCTATCTTTATCTATCTCTATCTCTATCGCACATAAAATCGGCCAATCAGGAGCTGGTTCACGTTTGACAGAAAAGTGGTTCATTTTCACCCCCGTATTGTCACCTCTTCTCTTAGGTTTTGAGCCGCACGAACAACTGTCAAAGATAGAGCCAATCGAGCACCGCCTATATTGATTGCATTGGCAGTGTTGCTAGAAACCATATAGGCATAGGTTGCCAAGATAGTCTGTGTTTAATCCGCTTCTCTCTTATGCTAAACCCTCTCTCGTTTTTCTCATTCTTCTTTATCAAAGTCCGTGGTTTTATCACAATGTGCAATGGACGAGTGCACCGATGAAAATTTGACAGGAGAGCCGGGCAATGTTTACTACAAATGAACACTAGATAAGGACACGGGATATACTACAATAGATCAAATTACTGGTCGCAGTGGTGTTAGGTCCCGAACAGAGGAAAAAAAATGGGCGACGCAGTCGACTGTCAAAGTACAAGAAAATCAAGGGGTACTCAACTCTGCACATCTCAATCTGTGCCTAGTACTTTATCTGTGCCGACAGCTGTGCCCAGTGTTGCGCCGAAAGTGCCGCACTGTGGCAATCAAGCTGTCGGTCTCAGTACCCCCTGAGTTTGGAAACCCTGCAGTTATGACTTTTGAGATTGTTTGTTTATAACTTCAAGGTCTCATCGATGGTTCATTTAAAATCGGAAACGAATGTTATTTTTTCCTTAATTTGCTCCCTAATTTTAAAAGATGGTGAAGTTATTATCGATCATGTTGATAATGCTAATGATGATGGTGTTTTTGCAATTTGAAATATATTTCTGAATAAGAAACAATTGCATTAGAAGCTGTGCTTAAGAATTATCTTTTATAAATAATACTTGCAAATAGACTAGGGCGTTGTTTGACAAAAATAAATCTTTTTTCGGCGACTCCATAAGTGAAATGTAAGCGGAAATGTTTGCTTGTCGATGAATAGGGTTTTTGGTCTAATTTCCGTCCTACTAAGCACTACCCGCGATTTACATCTCTTTTCTGAACGAGTTTAAACAAAAACTGGAATATTTATGTCAGAAATGACTTCTAAATTTATTCACCTTTCCATACGTACCGTTGGATTTGATAATGAGTCACAAATTGTTGAGATATTGTTTAAAATCTAATACTGCTTCTTGATTCTAAATTCGTTCTACGGGTTTCAATTCCGTCCTAACGCTTTGAAACGCCATTAGATTTTCTTCGACCTACGGATAAACGTAGAAAAAGGGGATTCGCTAGGAGCGCTTCTTTTGTTTTGAGAACAATGAACGTAAATATTCATACAATGCGCTCTAACAGGGTTTTGTTGTAGCTAATGAACTAACGCATCGAAACAAACCTATTATTAATTTCTGCACGGGGAAATCATTGATATTATTGATCTTTTCTGATTGATAGAACGGAAAGGGGCGATTACGACGAAGTAGCACTCTACCCTATCATTCGATAATGTTAGTTCTCCAGTTGAAGCAATGGTGTAAAAGTTACCCAAAACCATGATGCCTCTAGGGTTTTTGTCTTCAGGGCATAGTAAAGGAACCGATGTGAGTGGACTAGATTTTTATCGATCTGTAGATTATAATTATTATAGTTTATGATATTAATATCTCCTTTAAACTTCATTTGCAACGGGCCGGAGTCGGTATCGGTCTTGCCGGAAACATCACACCAACCAGCTGCAGCTTACCGCCGCAATGTTCTGTCTTCTCTGCTGAAGCTGCTGCCATCTTTATCGCTGCTACAACGCCCTTGGTCCAACCGATCCTGGTCCTCACGGATTCGCACGGCGTCAAACAAGCCCTGAAATCCGAGGCCCGAACTCATTCCTGGGTAGAGGCGCCGATGAAGTCCGCACCTCCAAACACGGTATTCTGCTGGGTTCCGGGGCACTGCGGAATACCAGGCAACTCTGAAGCTGACTTTCTGGCTGAGGCAGGACTATCTGCCCATCGCTGGATCGTGAACAAATTCTGGGAAGCTTGGGACGCAGAGTGGGTCCAAAACCGGTCCATCTTCATCAGACGGATCAAGGGGACGACGAGGAAATGGACAAAACCGTTGAATCAGTGGGATCAGAAGATAGCGTCGCGTTTGAGGACCGGTCACAGCAAGATCTCGCACAATTTCGGTGGAATGCCGTTCCACAGGACTCGCGTCGGTTGTAGAACCCCTTGCGGGAACTCCACAGGCTACCAAATAGCATACTCGACATGGGGCCACATGGGCCCCACAAAGTCACTTTCAATCGAAAATCTTCAAGCGACGATGAAGCTGTCAACCATCAACTTTCAAGTCATTCTGTCTTCTCTTCGAGCAGATCTCCGTCAACATCAACAGAACCAGTTTCGATCAGTTTTCATGCTGTTTGTTTTGGCTTGACTCGTGTTCATTTTTTTCATCGTCAAATGAACTTACTTTTTCATTGAAGCGAAGCTGTTCGATCCAAATTCGCGCAGTTTTTATGACTTTTGTTGATTGTTCACTCGGTTCATGTAAGCGTATGCGCATAGATCTGTGCACGTTAATGTCAAATTTATTACTGTCGGGTGGTTTGTTTACCAATCAATATGGGTATTTTTTGAATCGGGGTGACGTTTACAGATCGAAAATTGATATGCGACGCCATTTTAAAATCCAAGATGGCAGCTTCCACTTTAAGAAAAAAGTGGGAAATGCTGTCAAATACTTATCAATAAAGATATTTTGGAATCGGGATGATGTCTAGAGGATGAAAATAGATATCCGACAACATTTTCAAATCGGAGAAGGTGGCGTCCGATTTACGAAAAAGTGGAAATACATCAGACTGTATCAAATGTATCAAACATCAATATTAGTATTTTTGTAATCGGTATGAAGGGGCTTATTACGGATGTCACTTCACGGTGAACAGTTGTCACTTGTCGTCACGGTGAAGTGATTCCCACTTGATTTGTACGGTAATCACGGCTCTTATTCTCAGTATCACTTGCTTATCACCGTGTAGTGACACCCGTAATAAGGCCCGAAATCTACATATCGAAAATTTATATGCGACGCCATTTCGAAATCCATGATGGCGGCTTCCGATTTTAGATTTAGTGAGAAATACTGTCAATATAGGTATTTTTGGAATCGGGATGGTGTTTAGAGGCAGGAAATCGATATCGGACGCCATTTTAAAATCCAATATGGTGGCTTCCTATTTCAGGAAAAAAAAATGGGAAATGCTGATGCCGTCCCATCAATATGGGTATTTTTGGAATCGGGGTCTTGTATAAGGAAATCGGAAATCGATGAAATTTAAGATACTATATTTTGATGCCTGCGTCGTCAGGTCGTGACAAGTCGAATGAGCCCCAAATTGAAGTGAAGGTGGAAAAAAACGAAGAAAGCAGTTTTCGAGTCTTTCATTGCGTCAATTGAAACAAGTCTTTGCTTCAAATGAAATGAACTAAAGCACTCGACGAACGAAACAAATGATAGTCCAGTCATGTTTGAAAAGAGGAATGTTCATCGTGAGTCGATCACAAGAAACACGATGACTTACACGAAAATGATATTGCTCGAAATGAAACAATTCTGCGGAGAGTTCATTTTCTTTTTTTTTTGTTTCGAAAATGCAGATCCCTGCTGGCAGCAGTAATGCGCTTTTTAAAGAATGCTGCATTGTATTTAAAGTTTAGTTCCTTTCGGCTGCTGGGACATCTCTGCCTGATGGGCGCCCTCCCGGTTTCTCCAATATAGAGCTCTGTCTTATTCAGACCTCAATGTTTGTGTTCTTAATATGCTTGATGTGGAGATTTATTTGGCAATACTCCAGCTCCAACTGCTTCCAAAAGTACGCCTAAAAGTTGAGTTTTTATATTCTATTTAATAGTGTTGCAATCGAGAAGAACTTTTGACAATACTTACCTCATCCCATGCATCTTCCATATTAAAAACAGCACCAAACTTGGTACATCTCAATAAACTTTTATAATTCTAGGATTAATCACTGTTACACCAGTAAACCAGTAAATCGATTAGAAAAATTTCAGCGATCAACAGTGTTGCCCCCTTGAAGAAAATAGATTCCCTGTTGTAAAAATTTTCGCGTTTCTATACGTTCACCCGACCAATCAGGAGCTGGTTCGCGTTTGACAGTAAATTGGTTCATAAAAGTCCCCCTATTGTCTTCTCTTCCTCTTAGGTTATATCCAAAAGACCTTAACATTAAAATGACAGTTTATAACATACAGCTATAAATTCTATATTGCAGGAATTATCCACTCCGGTGGCAGAAACGTCATCCACAAACATTTGGCTTGAAGCCAAAGTTGTTGGTTATTTGGCTTGATTATCTGCCAATCTAAGACAGCTGATGCAAACATTGAGAAAGTATGCTACGTCCACATAGATGTTTGATTTGTTGCGCGGCAAAATAAACGTGATAAATGTTCAACAAGCGCGTGCATGTAAGAATGAAACATTTATTATATTAATTTTTAAATTAGGCAAGCTAATCATGAAAACTTCAAGTTTCATTGATGATTAATTCCATAAGATCCAGTTAGAGAATATCGATCAAAGTAAAGTTGACTGTATATCATTAGAAACTAATAGAAGAAACCCAGCCAAGAACGAACAAACCCCTACTCACTTCCTTCCGTCCATCCTCAGCTTGTACTTGACCCGGCTCTTGTCCTTGGGGTTCAAGCTCTCCGTCCTCCTGACCACCACACAGAACACGTGCTTCGAGAAGCAAATGTTCTCAATCTCCAACCAATCGAAGAACGCATACAGATGCCGCTGGTAGGAATTCTTCCCGTTGTTGAACTCCTGCTGCGCTCCCTTCGGATTAAACTTGAGATTCCTCTCGAAAATTGCCACCCCACTCAACGATATCGCCACGTACACCTCCAGCGTCATGTTCTCCTCGGTCGTCCACGTGGCACTGTACAGATGCAGCCCGTACTCCTTCAGCTCCTGCACGTAACGGATAAAATTGTGCTCTGCCTCCAGCTGGTGCAGCCCGCGCTTGCAAAAGTGCGAACTCCGCAGGTACTTGGCCAGTTCCTTCTTCTTCCGGTAGACCTCCTCCGGGAGGTAGTGCGATATCGTAAAGTACTCCGTGTATTTCATCTGGAATTCGATTGAATTTTAATTTGCATTGAAATATTTCAGCGAAAAAGAAAATCAACTTACATTCTCCTTGAAGCTTCCGACTTCCACTTGGAGAGCGAGCCCTCCCAATGCAATCAGATCGTCTTCGGAGCAGAGAATCTGCCGCTCCAGGATGCTTTTGCGCAGCTGCAGATATAGTAGATGGCGCGATTCCGAGCAGCTGTGGGCGGAAAAACTGGATAAAAGCTTCGATTCGGTTGGGAGAGCTTTAGATATTTACCTAACGCCTCGTAGCGTGGGCAGGAAGAACTTTAGCCTCAGATAGAGGGTGAAAACAACGTTTTCGCCCAGTGTTGCGGATTTTTTCGATGTGTTGACCCAAATTTGCGGAGCAACCTGTTTGATTGGAATGGTTTGTACAATGAAAAATCGATTGAAGTTTTCCAACGAAACAAGCATACCTTGTAGATTTTGAGATCATTCGGAAGGAAAACGAAATCCCCTCCGATTAGAGCGCACAGCCCGAGGAAGAAGTTTTCGGACAGCTTCTCCAGCCTCAGGATAGCCTCATAGACTTGTTTAGCCACGGTGGTCGTGGGATTGCAGATGACGTTCACTTTGGTTCCGTTCAGCAGCAGGATCGTTACCGTTCGACGGTGTTGAGTCTGCGAAAGTACGGAACATTTTTGGAATGCTTTCATGAATCCATTAAGATAAACAAAATTCTACCTTGGAATCCGTTAGATCGATGACCTTTGGTGGTGTAAAAGCATTCCGGACGAATTCCGGTCCATGACTGACTTCAGAGGCAACCCTCCCGGCTTCCTGGAGCGAGTCCACCCGAGTGTTGGATCGACCGAGGGAGAAATCTTCCTTTCGTCTTTCAGCGAACAGGGGATTTGTCTGCTGCACCGATACCAGTGGGGCTCCGAGATCTGTAAAAATAAACAGAAGATTAGCATCTGACACAGAGCTACCAATACAAGTGACGATACATACTTGGCATCGACGTAGCGTTGAAGCTCATCTCGTCAATCTTTCGCTGAAAGTCGTTTCCCCCGTCGATCAGATTCAGCTGCGTCGTCGACTTGGACGGAACCAGCCGGGTCTGACTCCGCTGCAACCGACCCAGCGTTCCCAGCTGTTGTTGTTGTTGCTGCTGCAACTGGACCTCCGCCATCTTGACTTCCACCATGGTTACATCGATCGTATTTCTCCGGGCGTCGTTCCTCTTGCGCAACATTTCCGCATTGTGCCGCCGTCGAACGACGTGTAGCTTCTTGGGATCTCCTTCCGTTCCGGCCCCTGCGCGAATGCTCTTGGAGTATCCAATAGTGGCATAGTTCCGAACCGGTTCCAGCTTGGTCGAGTCCGACGGTCTCGGTAGCGATCGGAACCTGTTCTCGTCCGGTTCGGCTCGCTTCACCCGAAGGTTTGCGGTGGATCCAAAGTATCGGGCCTGTTCCAGGTCGTGCCCGCTGATGGTGATGCCGTAGTTGATTTCCGATGATTGTGCTGGTGGGGGTGCTGGCTGCTGGAAGTTGTCAAGCTTGCGATGCACTTCCAACTCGCCATGATCCGAGCTGCGACCGGAATCGGTGTCGCTTCTGAAACGGGGGGAATTTTACCAATTGAGTGTATTTTGGAGGACACGGGATTAAACGGGTTAGCAGTCATACTTGTGCTCCTCGTAGCATTCGGTCATCTGCTTGGGTTGCTTCACTTCGATGCGCGTCGAAACGGACGCGACAACTTCCTTGAAGAGGTCAAGCACCATGTGCGAGAAGGGCTTGTACAGGTGGTGGTTCTTGCAGTAGTCGGAGATGATCTGGAAGAGGGAAGAAGAAGGTTTATGATTAATTCAAATGTGTAAATTGGAATCTAGAATTACGAGATGAACATGGAATTTCTTATTGGAATTCGCCATTAGACCATTTACAGGATCTGAAAAATTTCAAAAGCACCCTGTCTCTGCCAGTAAATCGCAAATGCACCCAATGATCAAAATTAAAAGATTTTGCGACATTTACTGTCGAATATTCTTTGAATAAATTTCCTTATATGGAAAAACGCTATAGAAATGAAACCAATAGGGAGCTGCTCCGTCGGGCTAGCCTCACTTTTTTGACATCTGGCGAACATTCCTGTCGTTCCGAAGGCGGCTAATGTGGACTGCAAACGAACGAACCAATCAAAGTGGTTTCTTCGGTTAAAAAGGCACCGACCTACGAACGATGAACTTCATCTCGTACAACGTTGGCGTTTCTCTGGGACTCAAAGAAGCCGCTTTGGACCCTGGAACTTGGCCTCAGGGGATTGCGTTTAGAGAATTTGAGGACACGCTGACGAAAAATACTGTACGTTGGCACTTCTACTGGTACCCCTTTCGAGACCCCAGCACCTCTTGGTACACCAGTCCCTTTAGGAACGTCCAGCACAACCGACAACGCATAATCCCGCCATCCGACGATATACATCCGAGACGCACCGTAGAAAGCCTGATGGAAGCCCCCAATCGCCCCCCGTAAGTATTTTTACGATTCGAATTTTTCGTTGCGTGATGAATTCCCCCACATCCAGATTCTCACCGATACCCCGGCGCAAAAGGAGGTGGTGTCTTTATCTTTCCCTCTCCTGACGAATGATTCTACTTTCCAACCGGGACGCACCGTAGATAGCACAGTGGAAGCTCCTCTATCTCAGTCTCGCCATTTCCTGCCAACGTTCACCATTGCCGTCCCGGCCCTGAGTTAAGATGTGGGTCGGGGGTCTTCCAATTTGCTATACCAAGCAACTATAAATTCAACATTGATCATTCGCTGCCTGAAGTCGGTTTGATTTTCAGCGCACAGGAATCTCCTAACGAAGGAAACGCACGCCATGGGAACATGGAATCAACTCCGCATCAGCCGGTTCCATCTTCTTCATCTTGGACCCTGGGACGCACCGTGAACAGTATTTTGGAAGCCTCCAGTCCTTTCGACGCAGTTGCGCCCCCTGCTGACATCGCTTATCGGATTTGGCCCGGCCCTGCGATCGGAAACGGAGAGGGTGTCTTCCGGATCTCCCAATCAGGCGAGTATAATTCAAGATCTGTCTTGGAACATCCCTTGCCTGATGTCGTTGCCAATTCTAGATCGCAATGCAGCACCCGCCAGGCTGCTTATCGTCACAGTCAGGCCATCTGCATGTATTACTAGAAAGCTGGTGGGATGAACTCCAACATCGATGATTATCGCTTAGCGGTTTCGGATCGCTGCTTCGACGTCTCATTGTCAAATCAAGTGTTTGGTTCCGAATACGAGGTTTTTCGATGCGATTGGAATCCGCACAACAGTCGCAAATCTACTGGTGGAGGCGTTCTCATAGCGGTCGGCTCTGGATTGAAGGCAAAAGTTATCGAAAACGATTCATGGGATTGTCTGGAACAAGTTTGGATTGCCATTAAGCTCGCTGACCGCACTTTGTTTGTATGTGTAGTTTACTTTCCCCCAGATCGAACTCGTGACTCTACGCTTATTGAATTCCACAATCAGTCTATTCGAGCTATAATGGAGATCGCTACAGCTGCTGACGAGATGATAATCATTGGCGACTTCAATCTACTGGCAATTTCTTGGCGATCATCTTACGGTGGATTCCTGTATCCGGACCACGACCGTTCTACATTTCACTCTGGAGCAGTAAGCCTTTTGGATCATTACAGTATCGCCACTCTTAAGCAAATCAACCACGTGGTTAATGAGAACAATCGTAGCTTAGACCTTTGCTTCGCCACCGCTCAGGATACTGCTCCGCATTTGTCTATGGCTTTTTTTTTTTTTTTTTTTTTTTTAACTCTTTATTTGTTCCAAATTCAAAAATTACATTTCATTTTTAACCTAGGTGCTCCAGTTACTGCAGTAACGTACCAGCCTTAATTGTTATGATGTATATCTAAGTGTTTTTACATTGTTCATGTCTTGGCAATTAAGTATTTTAAACAGGTTTTTTAAACCTGCATGTCAGTATATTTGTCTATGGCTGTTTCTCCGCTGATAAAGACTGTTCCACACCATCCTCCTTTAGTTATTGTACTTGAAGGGAACCAAATTCCTGAGGTCATTCCACCCCCCTAGAGGTCTCCTACGATTTCCGAAATGCTGACCACGACAGTATCGGGGAACTTCTTTCGAATTTGGACTGGCACAGGATACTTGTCCCTGCCGATGTCAATGCAGCTGCCCAAACGCTCTCGCATATTTTGGCTTACGTCATTGAGCGACACGTTCCGAAAAAAGTTCCTAAACAAGGTAATCATCATCCTTGGCAAACAAGTGAACTCTGTACGTTAAAGTCTTCCAAAAGAGCCTAAGCACTAAGAAAATACACCAAGTACCACACCCTACAACCCAAGGACCATTATGCGAGGGTCAATCATGCGTATCAACGAACCAGTCGCCAATGTTATCGGCGTTATCAACGAGATGTTCAACGGAAGCTTCGATCTCACCCGAAAACTTTTTGGAATTATGTGAATGAGCAACGAAAGGAGTCTGAACTTCCATCGACTATGGGTCTGATCGGCGAAGAAGCTTCAACCCCTCAGGACATTTGCCGTCTGTTCTAAACCAAGTTTGCGAGTGTATTCTCGGATGAGAACCTGCTTGACGAGCACGTTTCTCTAGCAGCCAGTAATGTTCCAATATCTCGTCAATCTTTGGCAGCTATCAATATCGACCTCGCTATGATAACTAGGGTGGCTTCGCAACTGAAGTCTTCATTTAAGTCTGGACCTGACGGAGTTCCTTCCGTCTTTCTCAAGCAACACATCGATAGCCTGGTGGCTCATCTCTGCCTTCTGTTCGAAATGTCCCTCTCCAGTGGGGTGTTTCCTTCCTGTTGGAAATTAGCTGAGATGTTTCCAGTGCATAAGAAGGGATGCAAAAGAAACATCGACAACATTGACACATCGTTGTGTGCCATATCTAAACTGTTCGAGTTGGTCGTTTTGGAACCATTAGTCTCTCACTTCAAGCAGCACTTGAGCAAAGACCAGCATGGTTTCATGGCAGGGCGGTCGACTACTTCCAACCTTCTGTGTCTCACTTCGTACGTTACGGAGAGTATGACAGACCATATGCAAACAGATGTCAAGTTCGACAAGTTGAACCATCCTATAGCGATCCCCATAAACGGCAGTCTCCTACGATGGTTCGCATCCTATCTATCTAGCCATCTCGGTCCGTTGATATTTCTTGCGTATTTCAACGACGTCAATTTCGTCCTCGACGGTCCACGACTGTCGTTTGCAGACGACGACATGGAAATCTAACGGGTGTTCAATAAAAAATGAGAATGATTTCAATACCTTTCTGTAATTAAAGTAAAGAGCGTACATTTTTTTCTCTCCAAGATAATTGCTCTCTGGACTCCCTGAAAATTGGTGGCATGTTTCTTTTCGCTCGGGTGCTGTCAGTTCAATCGAAGATGGCGTGGAAAGAGCAAGCACTCCGCGAGCGTGTTGTACGGTTTTACGAAACGCATGGAAATCGTGGAAAAAAGTTTACGGTAGACCACTTTCGAGACGAAAACGTGCCCGTGAGTACAGTTTACTGGATCCTGGCATCCCTGAGCGTGGAGCCGAAGGCCGGTAGTGGCCATCCGGCGAAGATAATGACGAAGAAGAAGACGGAAGCGTTGAAAAAGCTGTTCGACACCAAGGACGGAACGAGATTGCGTGACGCCGGCCGAAAATATCACTGCTCCCATACCTTGATTCACCGAACCCTCAAGATGGAGGGTATCATCTGTCGGAAGAATACTCGGTCCCCCGAGCATACGGACGAGGCGATAGCGACCGTGAAACCGCAGTGCCTGTGGATGACGAAGAACTAACGCGGGACGTCGTTCGTGCTGGACGACGAAAGTTACTTTTCTCTCTCGAAGACCCACATTCCAGGAAATGACAGCTACTTTTCCAGCGACAAGTTGGCCACACCCCCCCGCGCCAAGGATACGAAGCAGTTGACCACGAGGATCCAGAATTGTAGCCGGAAGATGGACGTCAGTGCCGTCCAGCGCTCTTGTGAGAGCATCGCAACTAAGTTGCGACGTTCGGCTGACCAGGGCCTCTTCTCCAATATTCATTGACGTTTTTTTTTGAAGAATAAACATTATGTTTTTAATAAAAAATACTGAATTCGTTGAAAAAAAAAATTTTTTTTTACTAGCTATATGACTGAAAAAGTTCTCATTTTTCATTTAACATCCGTTATTTCCGAATCCGAGCCATCGCTGACTGCCACCTTCTCCAACTCCAACTCAACGCTTTTGCTAATTGGTGCCAACTGAACCGCATGGTTGTAAATCCAACAAAATGTTCAGTAAGCATGTTCTGACGGAAGAAACATCCAATTACATTCAGTTACAGTACTTGTTCGCTAACTGGGCTAATTCCACTCGCTAACTGGACTGGCTTGTCAAACGTCAAAAAATACTGAGGGGAGCTTCAATGGATTGTTCGATCGACGTCAATAAAAATTCATGTGCAATGAATTTATACAGGGTAAAGGTGTCATTGTTATTTTCACAGCATTCAATCTTGCTAGTTTAGAAAGGCTCATAACGCTTGTAAGTCGTGATTTCAGTGTGAAATGAAAATAATTACTTAATATTCCATTCGAATGCCCCTTACCAGTTATGACAACTAAACTTCACAACAAGTACTGTATATCCTAGAAGGCGTTGATGTACATCGTGTGAATCACATTAAGGATCTGGGAGTCATCTTAGATTGTCAACTCTCATACAGCCAGCATTTCTCGTACGTGATCGACAAGGCATCCACAACGCTCGGCTTCATTTTCAGGATGGTTAAAAGTTTCAAAGTTTCACGGATATCTACTGTTTGAAGTCGCTTTACTGCTCCCTCGTCCGGTCGGTGTTAGAATACTGCTGCCCTGTATGGAATCCCAATTACCAAAACAGTGTCATCTGGTTTGCCCTTCGACGATTGCCTTGGAGGGATCCTCATCGCCTTCCAAGCTACGAAAGTCGGTGCCAATTCACCTGGATCCTTTGTGGAGTCGAAGAGATACGACAAGGGCCCTGTTTGTGGCAGACATTCTGCAGGGCAGAATCGATTGTCCTTCTATTCTACAACAATTCGACGTTAACGTTCAACCACGATAACTCCGTAACAACGCAATGCTGAGGATACCTTTTCGTCGTACAAACTATAGTTCATATGGTGCTATAAATGGGCTACAACGGGTTTTTGATCGTGTTGCTTTCTTAATTTGATTTTCCCTTGGCACGCGAGACGCTGCGTTAGAGATTCCGTGATATATTTTTAAGAATTAGGAATTAAGTTGGACTTCACGGCCTTTGCAGCTTGTTACTTCTTGACTATATTGTATTTCCTAGTATTGCTTAATCCGTCATTAGGACTAAGCCCAGTCTGTTGATGTAGAAACAAATAAACAAATAAACAAATAATGTGGTCAATGATCCATTTAAAGCCTATCGAAAGCCAATTGATGAAAAACAATGAAGAAAGAGCTGTCGCAAGACATGTTTTGGTGTAGCAACGCAATCGTCCCCTGTTACAGGTTCCCCCAAGGTATCCCATTGCTCTAAGAGTGTTCAATGTGGTGAACTTTAAATGATCCATTTAAAGTTGATAGAATGCATATTCATATTCTAACGAAAGCCTATTCATGAAAAACCATGAATAATGAGCTGTCGCAAGCAGGCATGGTAAAGCATTTACATTCATTTACATTCATTTGCCTCTATCTTTTTTCATCAACAGCATTCCGCAAAAAGATGTATAAAGCTTTAGTAGGTTTTGTTATTAGCTACAACTTTTTCCTATAACTCAAATCGGTATCTCTTATGCATCACGAATTAGAGCGGGCAGAACTTGTTACTGTTTTTCAGTGAATGTAAAATACATTTACTGAAAAACAGTAGTGGCTTCTGTTCGCTATGGTTCGTCATGCATAAAAGTTACGGATTTGAGTTGTTAACAAAAGTTGTAGTTTATAATAAAACCTAAAAAAGCTCCATACATCATTTTGCGTGGTTCTGATGATGAAAAAAGTTAGGGACAAATGAATGTATATGAATGCACGAAATGAATGCAAATGATTTTCCATGCCTGGTCGCAAGGCATGTTTTGGTGTAACAACGCAATCGTGCCCTGATAGAGGTTTCCCCGGGGCCAATGGCTCTTAGAGCGGTCAATGTGATGAACTTTAAATGATTCATTTAAAGTTTATAGAAAGCCTATTATTGGAAAAATATGAAGAATGAGCTATCACACGGCATATTTGGAGTAAACATGCAATTGACCCCTGTTACAGGTACCCCCGGGGGCATCCCGGAGGTTCCAAGAGCGGCTAATGTGGTCAATTATCCATTTAAAGCCTATCGAAAGCCTATTCATGAAAAACCATGAAGAATGAGCTGTCGCACGGCATGTTTTGAGTGATTAAAAGATCTGACCGCATTCAGAACCCTGCCTCAGAACTGACTCCCGAGAAATGGCCATACCTCGATTGATTTTAGGCCGATTTTAGTTCTTAGCACATCATTCGCTTTGAAAATGGTTCTGCTTTCTGTGTGTTTTATAAAAATATCGAACTGTAACCAGCGTCCTATCGAAAATCACATCACAAATTTAGCAATTTAGACAAGCCTTTCGGAAATCCAGAATATGTTCGGTATTTGGTGACCATGGTTATTTTAGTGGCTACACCATAAAACTACAAACGAATTGACAGACGGAGCGGCTCGAAAACATTGGCGACGAACCTGCTAGTGCAATTTTTCAGTGTACCACATGGAAACACTGAATGTACTCAAGGGGTAACTCACTCAGCACAGTGTGCCGAAAGTAGATTCGGCACAGCTTGGGCATATCCATCGGCACAATCTCTTAGGCATTGTATTGTTCATTAAATAAAATGGGAGCACTGGTGGACAGCTGCCATTGAAGTTGTTCACAACATAACTGTAGTAGATAGAGTTAGTGTGGAATAGAAATGAGTAGAATCGAGTGAGCGTGAAGCGTGATAGACCGTATGTAAACAGAATCTGATTGGTTCAGGAATTTTGATACAGCTAGAGGTATAAATATGAGGTACCTAAGCTCGTTGACGGCATTCTTATGACGGACTGTGGAGAGATCGAACGGCCAGCAAAGGACCACCAGCAGAAGGGATAGCGGCACTAGTGGACCAACAGAGGGAGCAGCAGATTCGTGAAACCATGACTGAGGCTGGAAACCTCGGTCCGACTACTACATCGGACCACCAGCTGAACGGCAGATTCGTGGAACCGTGTCCGAGACTGAAAACCTCGGTCCAGTCACGACAATAACGTGCTGCTTGACTGTGTATTTCGGGAAAATACTCTAATTGAATATACTGGAGGAACTCAGACCAGAAATTCACTTCTCGGTTCACATTTAAATTCGAAATGTAAGCTTCCGAGGACTGTCGATTGCTATCGATGCCGGTCACAAGTCTTTCAGCTACTACGCAAATGGAGTGTACTACGAACCGAACAATTATGACGGATTGAACCATGCAGTGGTGGCGGTACGGAAAACTCAAAGGAGCAGATTGCTGGCTAATCTAGAAATTTTATGTTGAGGGCACGGCTCGGGAGTGGCAGGATGTGGCTTTGTAAGGACCCTACTTTTCAGCAGAAAATCACCAGCAATCTACCAAACCAAACTCACTTGAACAATACGGAACTACTTTTCACGGCACAATCACAAGCAATAGTTATTGCTTCCACTCAACCTAATTAACTTACAATGTTTAAACCGAATTTCACTGGTTGATTCCGACGTTGAAAGCCTCCGAGAGCTTCTTGCCCGGAATCATCATCTTCAGCATTTCCTCTTCCAGATTGAGCAGAAAGGTGTAGTGGTTCTGAATCGTTTCCATCGAATTGATCAGCAACGTTCGGACGACATTGGAACCGTAGGACTTGTAACACGCACTCAGAGCACAGATGATCGATCCGAAGTGCTGACAAGAACCGCTGAATGCACTGAATTTCAAGCTGTAATTGCTACCCGGCTAGATAATTGCCGGGTAGCACATGTCCAACTAGTTGGTATCCACACCGGAGACGTCCATTTTGTCCGTCATAGCCTGCTCGACACCCTCCGACAGTTTGGCATGCAGGCCTTCTTTATGGTGCTAACCTCGGAGTCCTTCTTGGAACACATGATGTAACAGATTGGGAGCCTGATGTCCACCGTGTCAAAACTCTTGTCCTTGACGAAGGCTCTCCATGATTCACATAATTCACCCGGGAAGTTGTCCTTGGAGAAGACGCCCAACGTTTTGCCATCCTTGGATCCTTTGATCGCCTCCAGCAGCTTTTCAAAATTGGCCTTGTTCTTGTCGTTCTTATCCCGAACCAACAGCTTCACCGACGGAATGCCCTCCACACCGTCCTTCTTGATCTGCTTCAAGAAATCGATCTTCTTCTTCTTCTTGCTGGTCAGTGGACTTTTCGCACAGCACTGTAATCGTATCGGTCAGCAGCGAGGTGGATTTGCCGTAGATGGTTTCCTAGTCTACGCCGACCGCCGTCAGAATGCAATCCACCTTCTGCAGCGAATCATCGTCGGTAGAAGGAATTCTTATTTTCGCATCCAACGGTTTTCGATGCTGGGACACTTCCGATTGATTTCCGGCTGTTTTTCTTTGTTGTGTCCTGTTGGACGGCTGAGACCACTCACGGTCCATCTCGCCAGCATTTCTCCTTGGCTGTCGCTAGACCGATGTTATCATTGCGATTGCAAACTAAAACATTCAAGCTGTCAGAAATAACGGGTTGCCAAATATACCATAATATTCGGCACTGCCGGCACAATCGGAGCACCTGCGGTACACTGAGAAAAATGTTGACCCAAGATTGGTGTGCGGGGTGGCCTACCCCTTGAATTGTACTAGAATTGTTTTGGTTCTATCTCTCTACTCAAAACTGAAATGAATAAAAAACGACAATGGACAGCCCTATGGGGTTGTACGCAAATGGTGACGTAGGACTATGTGGTCTTAAATTATAAATCTTATTTGTAAACTGCAGCAGGAGCTTGTGTATTATGTAGGAATAGTAATTTGAGCAGGGTTCTCTCTGCTTATAAGCTCAATTTTCAATAGTAACATTTCGAAAAATGATGAAGTCGTGAATTTTTGCAGATGCGTAGAAATATTTCTGATCGATTGGTGATAAAATTATTGAAATTGGTTCAGGGGCAGCTGAGTTATTAACGTTCAAAATCTTTCATAATTTTGTTACGAGTTCCATTTTCGGTTTTCACAAAGTGTACACTAGACTGATGCAAAATTCGACTTTTTCGCTCCACAGTGCTTAAATGGTTTCAAGTCGGGTCGTGATTAGCCTCCCAAAGTTACAACTCATTTGGTTAGAAACAGGCTTCGCACAAGCCATTTGAAGTTTGCATGTAAATTACTATGGGAAATCTCAACTTTTTGTTCATTGGCTTCTAGTCTTTTTCCATATTGAGCTACGGAACAGTTCAATAGCTATTCTTGTAGAACATTTTCTCAGCTACAACTTTGCTTAAGATTGTTTCTATGTAAAACGAGGCAGGAAAAAGTTATTAATTATTTAAGAGATTGATAAACTTATGACATGATCAAGCAGCTGCTCTGTAGGCAACACTGTATTTTGCAGTGTGACATAGTAGCCATGATTTTTGTGTCCTATTCAACGCCCCAGAAACACCAATGTTGCCTGCTGAGCAGTTGATTGAGCATTATCATAAGACATCAGCGCATTGAACCATTGATAACTTTCGATCCTTGCATTTAATCAAAAAGTGGTCTTCAGCAAAGTTGTAGCTGGAAAATTTCCTACAAGTATAGTTGAAAACTTTTGAAGCAGACCGATATGGTGAATTATTAGATAGACAAGAACAAAAATCTTGGTTTCACCATAGTAATTCCCACACAAACTTCAAATGGTTTGTGCCATCTCAGTTTTACACCAAATGGGTTGAAATTTTGAGAGGTTAGTCAGGATCCGATTTGGATTCGTTTAAGCATTGTGGAGCGAAAATTTCAAATTTTGCATCACTCTAGTGTACATCCATATAGAAATCACAGACGTAGTGCTACTTCAAAAAATGACAAAATGATACACTCTTTGCATACTGTCAAAAATCATAGCACACAAAATCAACTTTGTTCAAATCAAAACAAGAAAATTCTATTACAGTGAACCACATTATTTTAATGGATTTCTTCGCCAGTTAGTTGTCTGTTACTTCTTTTTTGATAAAACTATATTAGTTTTCCAGGCCAATGCTTCTGGAAGAATTTAAATCGGACCATATTTGTCGACGTTGCAACACTCCAAAGTTGACCAAAAATTTGCCTATCCTAGATATTTTGAATAATATCCCCGTGTAAATTTTTGAAATCATCATCACTTTCATAGTTCTTCTATTATCCATGGGGGAGATTTAAATAAAATGCTCCATTTTCAAGATAAAAGCATTTTAAGATTGTACTCGTATACCTCCCCGACGAAAATTTTGAACCATCATCACTTTAATAGTTCTTCTACTCTCCACGAGTGCCAACTTTGATTTATCAATTACAACCACGTGCTGCAGAAACAAACCATCCCGCCAAATGACAGCGAGAGAAGAGCAGGAGCCTATGTTTGTTGAGAGCACGAACGAAGCTTCTGCTCTCGTTCTGTTTTTGTTGTCATCAGACCATCGATGACAACAAACGTGGTGCTCCGTATCTGTGATAAAACCAGTGACCATTTACCCCTAAAAAACGTACCCAGATTGCAAATCTACGAGTGATACCAAGCAGAATGTTATCCACATCAATCCCGAAGCTAGGGGACATCGATAATCTACAGCACATCATCCAATCCCGCTGGACGGAATTACACGACCACCAGCCGGAGCAGGGAGTTTTTCGCTATCGGCTGACAATCGAACGGGAGAGAGTGACCGACGACGGGAGATGCGGATTTCTCTTGCAGGTGAGTGAGAGAGAATAGCAGAAAGCGCGGTATTGCATGCAAGTGAATCATTTCAACGCACGTTGATTGAAACATTTCAGCTAAATCGCAAACGTACGACGGAGCGCCGCAAGCCGGACATCATGGCGAGTGTTGTTCCTGCCTTCGATCCCACTAGGTTCAACTTCAATAAAGTCAATTCCAGGGAGGTTTTGCTGGAAGTTAGATGCGGAGGTAGCTTGGTCTCGATATTGATCAACAACAGTCCACTGACGAGCTACCACTCGCTGATAGTGCCCGATCGGGATCGAAACTTACCACAAGTTTTGACCCAAGAAAGCTTGGACGTAGCAGTAAATCTTCTGTTGCGACTAGAAGATCGAAACTATCGGATCGGTTACAACAGCCCGGGTGCTTTGGCCTCCGTTAACCATTTGCATTTCCATTTGATGCACCTCACCCACAAGCTTTACGTGGAAGATGCGGTAAGTGACAGGAAATACTCTCTGCCAAATATTTATTTATTACATTTGATCTTACTTTTAGCCCGTCACAGCTTTGGCCCATCATCTCTTCCGTCTGGACAACCATCCAGCTAGGGCGTACTGTTTCCTTCTTCAGCCCAACACCCCACCAACGCACTTCGCCCAGCGAATTTACCGTCTAATAACCATCCTCCTATCGGGCAACATCGCTCACAATCTGCTTCTTACGTGGAATGGTTCGAGGGACACGCTCCGGGCGTTGATTTACCCCCGCCTGAGGCCATGTGAGAACAAACAGGTGTCCCCATTTAATGTGGCCTTCTGTGAACTCAGTGGCTTCGTTCCTCTCGGCGATGAATCGGATTACGAACGACTGGACGAACTCCAACTGGCGACGTACTTCCGAGAGGCTCAAGGCATCGATGAAAACCTTCACCACCAGTTGGATCAGACAGTACTGGATGGATTAGGAGAGGACGAAGGATGAAGTGATTCGTTTCCGCTACCGCTTAAAGCAATGATGAATAAATTCCACATGACGTAGCAACAAAAAAAAATACCGAAAGGATTAAAATTAGCGTGATTATTACTTCGAAGAAGGCCCCGAGTGGAGGCAGAAAATTGAAGCTAACCCGAAATATTGAGGGGAAATCGTTTTCGTGTCCTACTCTCGGAAACGGATGGAGTTTCCGGGAAAATCGCAATCAAGAATACTGTCACATTTCATTTTGATAGCGGAAAAAAAAACGAAAATTCCATTTCATTTGTGTTCAAATTCAATCACATCAAACTCCAATTCGATAACTGACCAGGGCCTGTCCAACCAAGGCACGATGGGTCGACGATTTTGATCAATTAGGACCGGGTGGAGCAACAGCAAAAACAGTTGAATGAACTTTTGCTGCCTTTCTTGCTTTGGTCCGCACATTCTGCCCGGTTCTCTGTGGGTTTGTAGTGGGTGGGAGTTATGCGATTCGGGTCATATATTGGATGCTGCAACTCATACTCCCTCAATCAGGTCAGACGGAAGAAATTGGTTCAGTGCCTTTCTTGGACGGTCGGTTGGTCGGTCGGTCAATGATGTGCTGAAATACATGAGATATGATTGGGGTAAACTGGACCGATAATTTGATCCGATGCCAGAAAGGAGCCTGTTTTTTTGGGTGTCTTCCATCATTGTGCAAGAGCGATAAATCCTAAGAGGAAGAGGAGACAATTGGCTTCTTGTTGTCTGTGACGTGGTCTTCTTTTCTCGCGGAAACGCGAAAACTATTGTCACCTCACCGGTGAGAAAGAATCACTTGAATCGCAGAATAGGGGGAATGACTTCTCTTGATGCTTTCTAAAAATTCAAGGCTCGCCCACGCAAACCAACATCCTCATCAGATAGGAAAAGACTTCCCCTATCCGATGGTTAGGTTAGTCTGCGTGGACGTGCCTTAAATTCCTAGAAATCAACGATAGAAGTCATTGTTTACAAAAGCCCAAATTCCAGCTCTATGTAGATTTCATTATGGGCGACTGTCAAAATACAAGAAAATAGATTCCCTGTTGTAAAATATTCTCGCGTTTCTATACGTTCGCCCGACCAATCAGGTGGTGGGTTGTGTTTGACAGAAAATTGGTTCAGAAAAGTCCCCCTTATTGTCTCCTCTTCCTCTTAGGATAAATCTAGATAGGGAGGCGTCGTAATTAAAGCATTTTGCTTTAGAATGTGTTTGTGTTTCTTGACTTTTTGAGTTGTGATGTTTGGCGACGTTCAGCATTCTGATGAACCTCTGTGGGCATGTTACGAAAATTCTATTGTCTGCAAAGTAAGTAGGGGGCTGTGTGGCGGCGGTAATATATTTCAAGTTTGGTGATACAATTCAAAGAGAAGTATTCTGATCGTGTCTTATTGAACTGAACTTTATGAATCTTTGTTGAGATTATCTAAATTTATATAAGGAACCTTAGAGAAGTTTGAATGAATGTCAAGAAATGCAGGGTTATTTGAGTCTAGACGTTGAATTTCTCTGAGAGGAGATTCCCTTCTTTTTCTTCTTATTCTTCTTCTTCTTCTTCTTCTTCTTCGTCTTCTTATTCTTCTCATTTAAAGCTTATTGGTTGTCGTATATGAGCTTATTCCGTACCCTCAACTTAGTATTGTAGATGCGCTTCCACAGTTTTTAATTGAGAGCTTTCGATGTCTGTACCATTTTCACATTAGTTTAATTATGTGGTCAGTACAATCATACACTCAAAAATATTACTAAGCAATGATAGATTCAAATTTAATCATTTTATGTTTAAAACGCTGTGTAGACTGGATTGCAACAAAACGCTGTGTTAAATAATTGCAACACAGAAACCACCATCAAGATAGCGCTATAACATGTCATAACTCTGTAGTCTGAACGTACTATAAGCAAAGTTTATACATTGATTCGACTATTTTATTTTTAAATTTTTTACTAAATCCGAATACCGGCGAGTGATTCGTTCAGTGTATATTTACCACTGACAGAATTCAAAATGAAAAAAATGAACTTTTGGTTTTGAATAAAAACGCTTATTTGCTTAAAAAAGTAAGAGGTTGTATCCAAGACTCGACCGATGATTACGTGCTCGGTATCAATATTTGGCGACTATGTTAGGGAAACCACTATAAGCAGGCAATCGGTGATAGTTTTGATGAACATTTCAACAGTTGGATATTTGTGTAATTTTCAATAGTGACCTATTCAAAATTGGTAAAATATTCATTTTAGCAGCTTCGTAGAAAAATTACAAATCGATTGGCTTGTTTAGAGTTAAAATCCATCCAGTATTGACAGAGTTATAAGTGGTCAAAACCTGACCACTTTTCGTAGCGCGGTCGATTTTGTTTTTTTTTTTCAATATGTTGCCGAAAGACGAAAACTGCTCTGCGGAGAGATTGACTCCGGTTCAGCCCTCTCGTCTGGATTGACACGCCGTAGAATGTGGGAGCGATCAAGAATAAGAGATTCTATCCCATGTTCACCAAGGAGAAAACGAAGCTTTGGTGAGTATTGAAGCGTTGAATCAGTTTTGATTAGAGATAAAAATTTGAATGAGAATTTTGATTTCAGTTACACGCAATGTCGGCCACCAAATTAACTCCGGTTACCACAATCTCTAAACTATGCAATCACGCGTTTACGGCCTTGGGACCTTCGCTGCACCACGATTTCGTTCTGCTGTACAAACTTCTCCGTTTGGTCCACGTTCTCCTGACGGAAATAAATTTCGAATCCACCCAAATCAGGATTTGTTATCCGATCAGCATAACTACGAAATAATAGCCCTATACAATATACAGCGATTCTTCCGGCTCTTTCTTGCATGGATTGCAATTGTTTAATGGCTGAAGAAAAATAGTCGGACGTTAGGCACTCTCAGAGCCAATATCGTTACAGTCTGAATGCCAGCCTAATCAACTAGGGGAAATGTCGGCTTCGGCAATACCTTAACCTATCAACGTCCTTGATAGCTCAATTTTGGCATGTGGATACATTGCGTTTCAGAGCATTCATTGGCCAAATTTGAGTGCTGTAGGACTTTATTTATCTCAAAGCCCCCCCGCTGACGAATTATGTGCCAAGCTCGTTTGCAATTACAACGGGGTCCCTAGTGATCCCAGCTTGTTGGTGGATTGCCAGGCCGGAGTTTCTACCTCTTAAAGCGTTTGCTCTGTTCCATAGTTCCATTGTGGAGATACTGTTATTTATAGAGTTAAGGAACCCCTCCCAGCTCATTGCCTTGGCCTCTTATTTTAGGGAGATTGACTTCTCGACGCAAGATCTCACTAATACAACCTAGCTAGTGTAGCCGTGTAAAATCGATTTGTTTATTATTTTCAACCACGAAATCAGCTGTCAAAGTGTTCGACTTGACAGCAGTTTGTTTTTTTTATTTTCAACCAGTAAAACGCATGTATTAGTGAAACTGCTCACTATTAACGGTGGTAGAGAACTCTATACTCCAAAGCAGTCTCCTCCACTGGAGAGATGGAGAGTTTTTGTTAGCTTCCTCAATGCTTTTCTCCTCGCTTTAACGGCGGACCACTGACTCCTACCTCGGCTTCGATTCCCCCATCGGACAGTGGGTCGTTGACTCCCTATACAAGTCAACAACCCCCTGCTAGCGGCGGAGTGGATAGCAAATGGTAAGTCCGATGGAAACGAAACAGATTCGTCTGTAGGAACATCCAGCTCCAGAAGATACCTCCGCACTCAACCACCTGGCAAGAAGCCTCGCGTGGATGACGACTGCAACGACAAGCGAGATGGGAGTAACCAACCGTCCTAATGGCTGAGTTCTCCAGTTACAACCTCGCCACCATCAACATCAACAATATTACGAACGCAACGAAGATTGACGCTCTTCGAACCTTTGTACGAACACAGGAGCTGGATATCGTTTTCTTCTAGGAGGTGGAGAATGAGCAACTCTCTATCCCTGCTGACAGTTGTTCGTGCGGAAAGTGAAAAAAATTTCAACGGCACGATCGCGTACTATCTTCAGTACAACACTCAAAACGTAATCCTCGCTGGAGATTTTAACTGCGTGCTACGTCCGAGCGACTCAACGAGTTCCAACACAAGCCCGGCTCTCCAAGCGACCGTACGGCAGCTACAGCTTCACGATCTGTGGCTGAAATTGTACCCCATAACCCGTACATCACACACAATGCGACATCCAAGCTCGACCGCATGTATGTTAGCGCTGAGCTTTGCGAGCATCTGCCGAGTGCTGCCACGCACGTATGCTTATTCACGGATCACAAAGCTCTTACAGTGCCTTGGCCGCGAACAAGGACGTGGTTTCTGGTCCCTCCGCCCTCACCTCTTAACCGCCGAGGAATTCCAAGTTCGATGGCAGCTTTGGACCCACCAACGGAGAAATTTCCCCAGCTGGATGACAAGGTGGCTCTCATGCGCGAAGCCAAAAATAACATCTGGAAGTCAAGTGAAGTTTTCAGGACTTTCAACGCTGAACAACAACGTCTCTACGAGCAATGACGACTCGCATATGATGGCTATTACCAGAATCCCACCATGCTGGTGACCATTAACCGCGTAAAACCACAAATGCTCACGTTGCAGCAGCAACTTCATCCGGAGATCAAGCAACACATGTTTCGATACTTCAGGGACCTGTATGCAGCCGAAGGGACGAGGTAGGTGGGGGAAGAAATGTTCGAAACTGAGAGAGCCGTACCCGAGAACGACGAAGTCAACGCAGCTCTTATGGCAGAGATCAGCATTGACGAGTTGAAAAACTTCATCCGAACGTCGCAAAAACGTAAATCACCGGGGATAGATGGTTTGCCGGTAGAGTTCTACCTACGAACCTTCGACGTCATCTATCGAGAGCTCTACTTCGTTATTAATGAAGCTATGACAAATGAGCTCCCATCTGAATTCGCCGATGGCACTATTCTCGCGTCACTTTTCAATAGGTCCTAAGTAAAAAAATGTGAACAAATAGAGC